GAACGCACCTTGTCCTGAGTCCATTTTATGCATAATTATTTCCAAAGTCGGACCGTGGACGCGGTACATGGGAATGTATGCATAAAATGGACTCAGGACAAGGTGCGTTCATATAAGTCTTCCTACCAATATGACCAATAATTTAATTAGTCATGACGGGTTATGATGGGCGGTTTTGTAACCTGACTTGCATCCTATTATTATTGGGTCACTAAACCTTAATAACCCGAGTCTGAGATTTGGATTTTGTAAGTACTATGATTTGGTACCACTACTACCACAGGCGCCAGAACATGTACGCACGCCTACATACGCACACACACGGATGGACGGACTCAAGTAAAAGTACCATGACTAAAGTGAAAGAGAACTAATCAAGTATTACTACACCCATGTATCTTTTTTATTTTTCTAGTAATGAATATATTTAGTAAATAAGGGAATAGAGCCGGCTAGTCTTCTCGACCCAGTGCTAACTTGAGACCTTGACAAGAACAAGTTACAGCTGAACGGAAGCCCAGCCCGTTTTTATGCGAAACGAGGGAGGATATCTCGTGGACTGCTTCAATCTGAACGACGTACCGCTGCAGAGCAACGAGAATCTGTCGTCGTCTTACAACGAGATAGACCAGTGAATGTGTTCCTTGTAGACATGAAGTGGTTAACGTGTCGAGATTACACGGGGAGGTTGAAGCTGCAGTCCACTCCTACCTGAATGAGAACACCTTCCCAATTTCACATGTGTGAAATGTAATGGACACGCGAGGCCTACTCATATGAGTGTGGGAAAATTGAACTGTCAGTCCTACATCATCACATTAAACGTTATAGGAAGCTTGAGTCATCTACTCTAATCAATCATTCCGGTTATGAAAGTTGGCTTCAGTTGGCCGCAAACGGTGCCTTGCCAACCCCATCAAATTCTCAAGTGAGAGAAGCAAGGGATTGTTTACTCGGATTTGTTTAGTTTGGAGTCTTGTTGATGCTATACCGACCAAACAGACGATCCAGCCTCACATTTCGGTACGATAAACATAATATTGATCAGATGTCATCAGAAGCCTGACTACAATAAGTCCTTATTTGCACTGATTGCATTTTCAACCTGTCTGGTCGAGTTTTTGTCCAGCCCGGTCAAGCCAAGTTTATGTCTGTTCTTTGTGCCTTGTTGTCGAGCTTCCGTTAAGCGATTGCCATCAAAGTTGGTTGATCTCGACGACTTGTCAGTCAGTCATTTACGGCACGAATTGGGTGGCGTCAGGCGAAAACTGCCCAATCTGCAAAACACCGACCGGAGGCCAGTCTGCGAGATCTGCTTTAGTGGACAGTCAGTGCAGCCAACCGCCTACCAATTACCATTTCCCTCGCTTCCCTCTGCCATCTTCGAATGGTCCGTCTTGAGTCGGCCCCATCGCGACGCCCGCTGAGGCTGGCTTTCGTGGTCATCTGCTGGCTTCTGTTGGCCGGCCAGCCGCAGCAGGCGGGGAGCGATTCGGACCATTCGCTACCACCGCTTCCGAAGGAACAGTTCTCGGAGTGTATCACAGCCTGCGGCGAGCAGATGAAAAGGTGCGTCGCTGGGATACCGGAACTGCTCAACAACTATTATGGGAATAGGCGGAAGGTGCAACGCATCCTTTTTGACTGCTGTGTCGACAAAGAGCACGACCAAACTAGTCCAGCAACCACGAGTTTCGCCCGTTGTGCCAAGCTCAATTGTCGTGCTCTCGTTTGGGGGTGAGTGTGTGTATTGAGGATGAGTGCAGTTTTTGAGACGTTCATTAATTGTTAAATAGCGCGCTTAAGGTGATTTAAGGACTCATAGTTGAGCTGCCCATCAAAAACACGTCAGGTGGAGAGACATTTTAATGATACATTTAACTATCACTCTTTAAATCACCATAAACGATCCTGGCTGGCCAAGTTTTCGTTGAAAAAGTTGAAGCCTACTTTTAACGAGAGTACAAATATACCTAATCCACATTCCAACTATAAATGTGATTTGGGAAAATTCCGGCTTGCCTTAAGATTTACACCTGTCCTGTGACATACGGACACTCGTAGCTTTGTAGGGAAATGGTTGTGTTGTCAAGATATGGTGGGACTCAAATTTTGGGTGCTGATAAGGCCTGCGCGAGAGCGAAAGTGTATTCCAAGCTAGGCTGAGCGCTAAAGCATGTTTGAGGAAGATGCAACAAAAAATTCAGCGGTATTTTGAGGCCTTCCAATAAAATTGTGGGAAAAATCTACCATCAG